TTCGCAGGTGTGTATGCTGGTGGAGGAGCTGATACTCAGTGAGATAGATTCACTTTACAGATATTTAGTCTTCTGGCAGAAAAACCCTATTTATTCTGGAAAAGTCTCAAGCATAAGAAAGCAAGTCCCTGGTGTAGGTGAATCAGAGCAATGTTTCTGCTTCAGTTACCCCTTAAAGCAGTGAGCATTCGCTTTGAAAAATCTACTCTTGAGGCATAATGCTAATAGGACACAGAATGGATCTGGCTGTTTTATAATGTGCAGGCTTGAAATATGTGTCAGCACCGATTATCTTAAAGCTGGAGATCTGCCAAACTGCTGCAAGAAAATTTTCTAATTAACAAAAACGTACTACTGAAAGGACCAGAGTGGTTGGAGATTGCAGGTGAGTTGTACACCTGAAGAAAGATTGTAGCTATTTTTATTTTATAATGAAACAACAAAATCAAACTTAAAAAAAGAATTTTAAGTTCCCTCCTGATTCATTCTCATTCTCTCCTGCCATTATAAACTGTGCTGTCATCTTGCATGCACATCTCTGTAGTATACACATTCTGACAAACTTCAAGATTGTTTTGATAAGTGGTGTTAATACTTTCTCCATTAGCATTTTGTAGCGAGTAGGCTGCCAGTGTGGAAATTTGCCTGCAAATGTCAGCGATCTCATGAGGTAACTGCTTCCAGAAAGATGCTAATAATACCTTGTACATTAAGAACTCTTTTGAAATGGTAAGGTGTTTATGAATTCCTTGCACTGCACAGCAGCTGCAGAAGAAATAAAGGTAAACTCTCTGAATCTCTGTGAAATCCTCTGGAAATAAAGCAAATTTAACAAACTAGAGTAGGACCACACTGGGTATTAGTGACAGGCATACAAGAGGACACATTCAAGGTGGGGCAAAAAGTTCTGATATACGGTATGGAAATGAAAGTATTTACCATTTTTTTTGCCACAAAGTTGACTAAATTTGATTTTCCTTCCCCAGTAACTGTTTCACATATGCCAGACCTACGGAAGAGTTCTCTATCTCTGGTACCCTCTGTCCTGTACTCTTACTGCTTTTTTGCTCCCTTCTTCTTGGATATATGTCATGCCCCCTTATAGCTTTGAAGATGGCCCTGCTTTGAGCTGAAGATTGGACCGGTGACCTCCAGAAAGTCTCTTTCAACTAAGATTTTTCAGTGATGCTATGATTATCTGATAGTCACAACTTTTTTTGCCTTCTGGCAAAAGCTTCTTCATTATTTCTCTAGTATTAAAATGTTCAGTTCCTTCACTACGGTATATGAATCCACTCCCAAATAGATTTATTCATCCTTAACCCTTTGCTGAAACTTCTGCCTTCTGTCTCCTTTCTATGCTTTTGTGTGCAAAGGGTCTCCTGAAGAACAGATTGCTTCCTTCAGTAACAACAATAAAGGCAGAGCAATAGTTCCTTTCTCCCAACTTCTTAGTGAACAGCCAACTGACATTCTTCCTCACTTTCAATTCATATATTCCTAGCATTTTAACATTCCTAAAAATTTTCCACCGAGTGTTTTCTAGATAGCAATGGAAAGCCTCAGTCTTGCATAGACACAATTTCCATAGCCTACTTTAATACCTTTCTTCACCTGTTACAAAGATGCTCAAAGTTTTGGGGTAAAACTGAAAATGCCAACAAATACCAAGTCAAGGTAAATTTCAGCAAGAAAATGGAATTTGCAAGTCTATAAATGTCTCTGGAGTGTGTTTTTCTGACTTCTAATGCTAATGTTAATTGGGCATAGAAGTTTCTATATCATCTAAATAAAGTCTTCCTTTTCTGTGGACTTTTTTGATCTCCATCCTTTCTATTCCCATTTTATGGGGATAATTGACTTAAATTCCAAAAATGAACTAAAATCATTAGGTGAACGTAGATGTATTAGTTTAAAAGACTACGTGAAAAATCTGGAGAACTTCTAAACCCTAGCTTCTCTGACTAATATGCCAGGTGGAAACAGAGAAGGATAAATCTCTCAGTGAAAAGAAACTTCAACATTCTCAAGGATTCTTTCATTAGGAAACTACATTACTAGTAGCTTTGAAGCCAAATACATGTCTATTCAATGGGTTTCAGATTTCTGAGCAGCGGCTACTAGAGTTGTGACAAATTGAAAGCATTTTACATATGACCCTTTCTGACAAAAACATGATATGGATTAATTTAGATCACTAATGTTTCTCTCTTTTTTTTTTTTTTTGCCATGAAGACACACGGGGACATATACTTACAAAATGTCAGTCTGTAAGACCCCATTCTTCCGTTTCATTGTGTTTGAATGATTGACCCTGTTGTCTTCTACTGATAGTTTCTTTTAATTGCTGAGAGTAAAATGAAGTTTTTCATTTAACTGGTTGATACTTACACAGACTTCAGAAGATGTGTTTAGCTAATTATAAAAGGTTTTAATAAAGAATCATAGAAACATTCATAGAAACATTCAGGTTGGAAAAGACTCTTGGGATCATCAAGTCCAACCTATAACCCTACTCTACAGAGTCCTAAACCATATCCACTCCCAAACCATATCCCCCAGCACTACATCTAAATGAGCTTTAAACACCTGCAGGGAAGGTGACTCAACCACCTCCCTGGGCAGCCTATTCCAGTGCCCGACTACTCTTTCTGTGAAAAATATATAATTTTCAACAAAATAAAATTTTCTTAGTAATCAGTAGTAAGAATACAGAAATTATGGATTAAAAAATGGAGGGTTTTTTATCATTTTATTATGAGAAATGTATTATTATTGACAGGATTCTATATATTGTGCTTTTTGAGGGAGAACTCATTTTGAGATTGAGCTTAATCAAGCTACTTAACATTGTTTTCTTACTGGTATGTCACTGCTAAAACAAGGCTTCTTGACTACTTTGTGTAATAACATAATAATATGTGAGGAAGCTGAGCTCAGGCTTGGGAAAGATTTATATGTGCTTCTACATTCACATTTTCTATTTTTGGTATTTTATTTCTTAAACTGCTTAAGGGACTGAGAAAAAGAAAAAGGTTTTAATGTTTTTCATGTTAGATTTCATTGAATACTGTGATAACACTTTCACATTCATTACAAAGGCGTTGGTCATTTCTTAGCATTTTTGTCAATGATCTGAATGGATAGAGTGCAGCCTCAGTAAGTTTGCAGGTGACACCAAGCTGGGTGGAAGTGTCGATCTGCTTGAGGGTAGGGAGGCTGTACAGAGGGATCTAGACAGGCTGGATCGCTGGGCTAAGGCCAGTCCCATGAGTTTCAATAAGGCCAAATGCCGGGTCCTGCACTTCGGCCACAACAACCCCCAGCAGCGCTACAGGCTTGGGGAGGAGTGGCTGGAGAGCTGCCCGGCAGAGAGGGACCTGGGGGTGTTATGGACAGCCGGCTGAACAGGAGCCAGCAGTGTGCCCAGGTGGCCAAGAAGGCTAACGGCATCCTGGCCTGGATCAGGAATGGGGGTGTCAGCAGGAGACAGGAGGTGATCATGCCCCTGTGCTCGCCTTTGGTGAGGCCTCACCCTGAGCTCTGTGTCCAGTTTTAGGCCCCTCACTGCAAGGTGCTGGAGAGGGTACAGAGGCGGAGTAGGTCCTGGGAAGAGCAATGAAGCTGGTGAAGAGACTTGAAGCTGAGGGATTTGTGACTGTTCAGCCTGGAGAAGAGGAGATTGAGAGGAGACCTTATTGTCCTCTACAGCTACCTGAAAGGACGTTGCATTGAGGCGGGGGTTGGTCTGTTCTCCCTAGTGGCGAGTGACAGGACAAGGGGAAATGGCCTTAAGCTGCGCCAGGGGAGGTTCAGGTTGGATACTGGGAAAAAAATTCTTAGTACTGAGAAGGCTGTCAGGCACTGGAACAGGCTGCCCAGGGAGGTGGGTGAGGCGCCATCCCTGAAGGTGTTTAAGAGAAAGGCAGATGCTGTGCTGAGGGACATGGTTTAGTGGTGCTCATAGGGCTAGGACAAATGTTGGACTTCATGATGTCAAAGGTCTCTTCCAACTGAAACTATTCTATGATTCTATCTCCTTCACCAGCACAAATCTGAAAGTGTAAAACTGTAAGAACTAAGAAAAATATCTCTCTCTTTACACCTCAACTTTGGGAAAAAAATGGAGCTGGAAAACAACACAGAGTTGAATACCTGAAAAGCCATTTCTGTTTACCCTCCAGAGGACATATGAAGTGGATTAAGAGGTATGTTTGGTGTTTCAGAGATCCAAAAGGTCCACAGAGAAATGATGTATCAGTCTTGTTCATTATATTCCTCAGCTATTCCCTCTAATAGCACGACTCAGCCTTAAACCAACAATGATCTGCCCTTTACCGTGGCACATTTAATTCTCTCTCCAAAGTATAAAGGACATTGAACACGTAGTTACAACCTGTCTCCATTGCAACTCACTTTTAAGAAATATCAGAAGGAGCAGAAGAGGTATGAAGGTTCAAAATAATGTTACAGGCTGAAACAACTAGTCTGTTTCTCTTCTTTCCTAAAATTCTTTGTTATTTGTTTTCCATATCCTGACATGTGAATTATGTAACCTGGAAGCGTGGGAGGTTTAGGCTTTGGAACAGCCTGCCCAGAAAGGTGGTTGAGTCACCATCCCTGGAGATGGGTAAATTTTGTACTGAGGAATACGGTTCAGTAGCGTTGATAGGGCTAGGACAAAGTTTGGACTCTGTGATCTTGAAGGTCTCTTCCAGATGAAAATGGTCTGTGATTCTATGAATATGTGGTAACTCAAACACCTTTCTGTCACTTCAGTTCCAGTGTAACTTTTCATTTTCCACCCTTTTTTAACAACTATTTTTCAAAACAGTTAATGAAGCACAGCAAACAACATCTTTTATATCTTGCTACCTAAATTTCTGCAGCGGTATCTATTTCTTATCCAGTTGTTGTGTTAAGAAACCATGTTTAAATTGAGGATGTCATAGAATATTAAGTATTTCAAAAGGCTTAATACTCCCTTGTATATTTTGCAGACAATCCTGGGCTAGTGAGCTACGTTCCAGTTGGTGTTAGAATCCTGGATGTCAACGACAACCCTCCAGAACTCGCCAGAGAGTATGATGTAGTCGTCTGTGAGAATGCAAAGCCTAGTCAGGTAACTCTCACAGTTCTCTTTTCTCCCAGTGGGAAAGAATTATTACTTTATTTGTTAATATAAGAAGTTTGATCTGGGGAACACGTGTCATAATTCTTTCTCATTCTATTTGCATATTTCACATTTCATTCAATTTTTTAATTGTATTAGGCTGAAGGGAGAGGACTCAGAAATTTGTTCAATTAATCTTTCTTATTGCTGCAAAAAATACCTGCGTTATCTTCAGTGAAGACAGGCAAAACTTTAATCCTCTCACATAGGTGATGGAATTTGACAAGCCACTATCCTGAACAAAATGCATAAATTGGATTTAACATCTCTCATCTCCATGCCACATGGTAGCAAGGTTTTAAATTCAGCTCAGCGGAAATGGTTGCGTACGGTGGCTACCATCATCACTTTTTGCATGTCCGTTACCCTTGTCTGTGCAGAGTCATTATGGAAAAGATATTGAAAGGGTTTTTTCACAACTGCAAGCACGGAGAGGGTCAGAACTGAGACTGAATAGCTGAATCACATTCCAGCCACTGCTCCAGCGGTGGATGCATTTTATTGCAGTCCATTGTTTGTCAATTTTACCAAGTGCCTTTGCTTTTTTGCATGGATTGAGTTTTTACCCAGCACTCTACGCTGCTTTTGCGTTCTTATGCAGGTTGTAAATTGCAATTGTAAACACATAGCTTTCCTGAGAAATATATTACTTTCCTGAGGAATACCAGTTTTCTCATGGAATCTGTAAAAGCAGTGTACATAAATGCACAGTGGTATATTTCTATTTTTAACACTGAGACTATAAAAATGCTGTGCTTCATCAGACTATAAGCTGACCAAGGTTATCTTGACTCTAACAGTGCCAAAAGCTGATACCTAAGAAGCACTATAAAAATATGGCAAGCTTAACCCAAGCACTTCCCTGGTCTCAGATCATTTGCAGATAATTTCATCATCCAAATGTGGCTTCTGTGTTCTTAATAATCCCTTAATAGCCACCCAATACGAATCTGTCTAGCTTTTCCTACAACAAATACAAACTTTTTATATCTGCCACCTTAAGCAGTGAGGAATTTCAATTTATTGCATGTGTTGGGAAGATCTACCACCTTTCTCCTTTTTTTTTATTGTTTTTCTCTTAATCTTCTCATGTTGTCTTGAATCAATATTTACCAGTTCTTGTGTTGGGAGACAGAGTGAGGGCCGTTGATCCCTATTTATTATCTCAGTGCCATTCATAAATCTCTTGCCCCTCAGCCATCTCTTGACTGAAGAGTCCTACTTAACTTGGACAAACCACGATAAAGCCTTCCTTAGACTTGTGATCGTTCATCTTGTCCTCCTCTAAACTTTCTCCACTTCCTCTCTGTTCACCTTGAGATTGGGAAACAAGAGTCAGGATGTAGGTATGCAGTGGTTTACGATTCCTGTAGTTGTGCTTCGTAGTGTATGATGATCTCTGCTTTGTTCCTTTCCTAGCAATTTCTAACAGTGGCTTTGCTTTTTAATCCCTAGTCAGCATTGAACACAATGTATTTTGTATTGCCTGACTACTGAGTGTTGGAAAGTCTTGTAGTGTGTGTTTTATCTTGAAAAACTCAGTATCGTAAGTAGATTTGGTGGGCTGGTTCTTCGTGCTCTTTGTAAGATGTTTATTATTACAAGTGGCTCAGCATAAATCCTGCAAAGACCTTCCCTCTTTCTCATGATGGCATAGCTTTCTTCAGTGCTCTTACCAAGACACCTCACTTTGAAAATCTAGGTAGGTCTGCCTGTCAACTGAATCTATCTTATTTACAGGCTTATTAAATATAGAAGAAATAGAACTTGTGAAAGACTTAGTCCTTAAAAACAGAAAATAAAATCTCTTAATTACAATTACTTCCTAAATATTTTGATATTTTTAAAATTATGTAATTTAACAATAATTGTTAAATTGTTATAATAAATAACAAGCTAAAGCATGCAATGAAACTAGCTCAGAAATTGTCTGTTTGCCAGGAGTGGTGGTGGTGGTGGTGAGTAGCTAATATTTCTTATAAGCAAGGTTTTAACTCTCCTGTAGTAGCTTTGCAAATGGAAATTCGTAAGAGAAATGTTTAAAGGATAAAATAAGTTTTACTGTAAGAGCATTTTGTCCTGATTTGGGTCAACATTGTATTTCTCTCTCAGCTACTGTTGCAAACCTGAATGACTCCTGACCTCTGTAGCATTGCAGTTTAACACTCAACATTAATGCTACCATGAAGGATTCTACAAGCAGTAGTTTAAATCAAAAAGCTGGATCAGCCTGCTGCTGTGTTCTTAAGCTAATAGGACTCTGCTGTGTGCATGACATGCACTAATTTTTATTCCATTGCACAACAAAGCTTCAGAAAAACATTGTGATACCATTGCACCATACAAAAAGAGAAAGAAAACACAGAAATATATGGCTGTTACTCAGAAGATCTTACTGTCTATCTCAAAAAATAAAATGACAGTATTTAACAAATATTAAGGAGGGACAAATAAACAAGGATTACAGAACAAGACAAGTGTTCCATATGCTAAAAAGCACACTCAGCAGGATGATTTTGAAACACTGAAAAGGCAATATTTAGTTGTGAGTTATCCATCATCTTCTGAATTTGATTCATAAGATGTATCACAATACAACAAATTTTGACAAGTATTGCTGGGCACAGCTGCTTGGCTAGTGACTTGGTGTTGGGCTCCAGCCCTGTACTGCCCAGTAGACCTTATTTCTCTCTTCAGCACATCTATTCTGAATTTATTATGTGCAAGATAAACTAACCAATGGTTTGTCATTGGAAGACTTTTGTGCTTGCTGGTTTATTTTTAGAAGAGGATTCTGTGGAGAGAAACCACAGTATCATTTAATTGCACAACCTCTATCTTCTCTTTTTCCCTAGATAACTCACTTTATTCAAAAAAAGCACAAATAGAAACTTAAGTCCTTAAGTGCTTAACTGACTCCCCCATCAAAGTTTAAAGTTGGGCTGGCCACTAAATTTTGACTGATATTCCTTCCCCCACCCTCCCAGTGGAGGATAACAGGGGAAGCAGAGAGAGAGACTTTGAGGTTGACAACAAACTTGAACCAGTTTAATGAAAAAGAGAACAGTAAAGCTATTGAACTATATACAGCTATTATACAAGCATATTCAAAGTTACAAGACAATACATTAATAAGGACAAGTAGGTCCTGAGCAGAAAAAGAGTCCCAGACTGGACTTGGCAGCAGACAGGAGCACCTGAGCCTGGAGTCTCGATGATAGTCAAAAAAACACAGAAAAAAAGAACCTTGGAAGCTCCACTGCTCCCATCCAAGGAGGCAGGGGAAGGCAACCTGTCCTGACCTGCAGTGCTCCTCTGCAGTGTGGAAGCAGGAACAACAGCAGCTTATGAGGAGATGATGAACCACTTACAGCAACTCCCTCAGCACAGCAGCAGGGATTGTCTTAGGGCCCCTTTTATACTGAGCACATGGGAAGGAACGCTGTGGTTGGTCTGTTTGGGTCACCTGACCCATCCTCTCTTCCCCCACTGTGATTGGCCCTTATGCCAGGAGCCCCAGAGAACTTTTGTCTTTGGGCTCTCAAACCAGGACTCCCCTAAAGTTATGTCAAACAGAAAATGCATGTGAGAAGATGATGCGTGTGAGAAGATGGTAGTTTCCACACTGAAGTGACAGCTTTGCTTCCTTAGAACTGGCTTTACGAAGAAGATAAGCTAAGTGTCTCCAACAGCTTCCACGTGAAGCTTGGTAGATACTAAGTATTGACCTTGATAAAGCACCTGTGATTTAAACCTAGATGGTATTCAGACTTAAAGAACCTGGATTTCTAGAAATATACTGATTTTGTGAGTAGTAGTGAAAGCTAGTGTAGGAAAAATGAAATGTTGCTCTTTCACAAAATGATTTTGCAAATGAAATTTTCCTTTGCTTCCCATGCAACTTGTTTTATTGCTTTTAAGATAAGGGGAGCAAATAGCAATGTAAAAAGGCATTTAAATGCTTTGCTCTGAAAAGTGAGGAAGTGAAACGTTGGTAGTTTTCTGAATGTTTCTAAGTTGTCCTGGCAGAGTATGAACCTATTAAAATATCTGCCTAGATCTGCTAGTCTATTCTACTAGTATTTGCTATGACTCTCTAAACACAACAGTTTTTCTGGATTTTTTCAGAGGAATAGTAGGAAAAAAGTGAGATAACAATGGAATGTTATTTCTTTGACAGTGTCCACCACTGTGAATTCCCACACAGGTGTGTGTACACCTTCACACACAGAAGAAACTTTTTCAGAATTGGAGTGTATAAATATTGTGCTGCCAGCATGAGTTACCTCACCCTGGATGCTGTTATTTCTAATAGCCGAAGGAAATCAATGTTAGCTGGCAAGGGAAGCCTCTGCTAGAAGTTTGTCATGTGTGTATTTACTTGTTTATTGATTCAGTTCTGAAAAAGACCTGAATAGCATTTAGCAACTGCTCTCTATCCTCTTCAGTGAGCTTTCTTCCATTCTTGAAATTCTTCCTTGTCTTGCCAACTCTTGGCTTTTATAAAAACGGTGACTCTTCAGTTTCTTTGCATTAGTGCTGTCAAGTGAGTGTTACAGCAGCTGATACTCTGTGTCTGCGTTTTTATTGTAACCAGCTTTGGCAAAGTGCATGGTAACGTTTCCTAATTGGCCTGTTAATTAGAAAAGGGTTAACAGTATGTTTGGGTGTCAGGAGGACGCATGCTTCTACTTCTCACCTCTGAATGAATGTCTTGGAAATATTTTCCTTAGAGAGCAAGTGCCTTTTTGGGAAAGGTGTGAACTTTCTATTGAAAAAGAATTCTGTCAAAAATATTTTAACCTGTCCAATTACACATACAATGTCTATTTTTCACATGAAAAAGCATGATTTCTATGCCATCTGGTGTTACCCTTTTTAGATACTTTGGGGAATACAGAGGTTACTTGAATTTCCATGTGTGAAATCAGGGAATGTGTAGACAGTATGTTTTGTTGAGTTTTAAAATTAGTATTAAAACCAAATAATAGAATATAAAATAATAATTTTATACTAGTCTTGTGGCTCCGAGGCCTTGATCAAAGATATTTTTGTTGCAAAACGGCATGTTCTTGAAGCAAGATTCTATAAAATGTTACTGAATGTTTCATGTAAGAGAGGGCAACAGGATGAAAGTTTATCTGCTAAGCTGTCAAATAAAAGCAGAAGATGCATGACAAAATGACTTCTACTGCACTGATAAATGGCACTGCGGATTTATAGACAATAATAAATTCATATTTTTCTTTAAGGTCTTATCTGATTTTTTTTACAGCTGTTTATGGTATTTAACAGTATTTTTAGTATTTGAATGATAACAGAAACTGTCCTGAAAATACTCTTCCATCAGTGTGGGTTTTTTTGGTCTTTCTTCTCTCATACCATTTCTATAGAACCATAGAGTGGCTTAGGTTGGAAAGGACCTTAGAGATCATCTAATCCAACCCCGCTGCCATGGGCTGGGATGCTTCTCAACTAGACGAGGTTGCTCAAGGCCTTATCCAGCCTGGTCTTGAACATCTCCAGTGAGGGGGTGTCCACAACCTCTCTGGGTACTAAATATATCAAACTAAGAAGAACTTACATTTTTGGTTTTACATGGCTTTTGTTTTAGTGATAGATATGCCATCTTTGCAAAATTTAATAGAGCTTTTGCCAAACTTTCACCAGTATTGCCATAACTTTGGTAAAGATTATAGACGTTTCAGATTGTTCATATGCTGCTACAGTTCAGCAAAAAAAAAGTATTATTGCAAAGTTTTAAAATACACCCAGCAATTGTTAATTTTCGCAGGTGTGTCTGGTTAGTGCAATGTGCTACATTGTATCTAGTCAATGGAATAAGCTTTGTACTCAATTGGCTTTAAGATGTATTTCCTTTGGTTTTCTTATGTGAACAAAGGTAGAGATCTATGTGCTATCTTTTAGTTTCAAACCAGACCAATCGACTTGAGCCCACACTTTTTATTCTTCAGGTTCAGTCCAGACAGAAGACAGCGGAACATTAAATAAAAAAATTCTCTTTTAAAAGAGCACTTTCCCTCCCCCTTTTGCGTTTCCCTCAGGATATCTATCAGCTCTGTGCAGCAGTCTGTGTGGGCTTCACTGTCTATATCACAAGAACAACTTTTATTAAATTCCATTTCAGCACTTGAGCTTCTAGACCCAGCATAAAAATGAAAGTAGAGGTACGAATATTGCTTGGTCACACATTCCGAAAGTTTAGCTCAGTTTTAGTTGAAAGTAAATTTTAAAAGCCACCAGGGCTTTCGAAGGTAAAGGTCCTGCCTTTCAAAAATACCTCTCCCATACATGGTTGCTACATCTAATTCCATTCCTTTTGGGGCAAAGCAAACTAAACCCAGGAGTGACTGCTGTTATTCCTGTTGTGTTCTCTGGCAATTTAAAACTAATTCTTGACAGGAATTTTAACGAGAGAGCTGGTATTATAAACCTGCCATTTTGGTTAAACATTTTTTTTTTTTATTCTAACCTGCATCGAAGTGCATCTGATTATTGAGATAGCAAGCAGAGGATGTTCCGCAAGACCATCCTGGTTCAGCTGGAATTTTGGCTCCATAAAAACAGATGTTTAGGTGAAACTGTAATTCTGAAACTCACCAGGATGCAATGCAGATGGCGAAAAATCTCTTGTACCCGATCCAGACCGTATCAGAATGTCAGAGAATACAGAAACTTTAGATGCTTTTATAGAGCTCTGAAGTGTAGTTCCTAAAATATTTCATGCTAGAGAAATCAAGCTAATGGCCCAGTCATTTTAATGGTTGAATTTAGCAGCAGTCAAGTAGAAAATTAAAATAAGCTAAGTTAGAGCATCCTGCTGAGGTCAGGTACTATTTGGGTCAAGTTCAAATTTCAACACGTTCACTGTTAATTTTTATTTCAGGTAATTCAGACTATCACTGCAACTGACAAAGATAACTCTGCAAATGGGGCAAGATTCCATTTTTTCCTTGATGAAGGGCTTTCTTTGAATCCCAACTTTACTCTAAGGGACAATGAAGGTAAATCAAACACATACATCTCAAAGAAATGTGTCTCTGTTTTGTCTGGGATGTCTCATTGAACAGAACAATTTCTGTGCATTTCTTGACAGAAGAGGGAAACTGTTTTCTGTTAAAAATATTCCTTAAGTGATGACTCCAGCTGTTTCCCAGATTAGTGTATCAATTCCTCTCAGATTGTGATGGAGCATTATAGCAAAAGCCAGAGGGTTGTTCCTGAATTAGAGGAAGTCTACTATTGTGTATTTTTATATTTGAGTCCAAGATTCAAATAAAGTTCTTCAGAGTTTGACTGTGATCTCATGTGGGAGTTCATGGTCATGTTCATTTCAGTACAAGATACATAAAGATGTGCTTTTGAGTAACTATTAAAATTTTGGTGGTTCATGATGAAGTAGATATTTTATGGTATTGAACACATTTTAATTGGGATCTTTATTATATATGTTTATTACCAGTTGAAAATGCTGTGTTACCCTTTAAGGCTGGCATGTCAGCATAAGCTGCTTACCAGCATAGATTAATAAGATGGTGGGAACTTTTCATAAATCTCTAACATAGCAGTGTCATGCCTTGGATATAAGTGTTCAGCAGTATTTGCTGCTGCTTGTTACCTCCCCAAAAGCAGTGAGCAACGACTTTGCCACCAACAGCAGGAGGTGGTTTGGTCTGTCCTAAGTTGGATTTGGCAGGGGAAAGTAGGAGAAGGAGCTGGAAAAGGTGTCCTTTAAAGTAAAGGCCTGTTGTGCATTATATTCTTATTTCAGCTAAGAAGATACAAAAAGTGAGTATGCACTTCCTGTAGCATGTTGCATAGAACCTCTACATGTACAGAGGCTCCACAAGTGTAATTTCTGATTTACTCATATAATTAAGACAGTAACAGTTTAACCCAATTCATGACAAGAAATTTATCATAAGAACAAAAGTCTTGTCCCTGTTTTGCTCAGCATCTGGCCCTTTGTACTGGTTAAACGCTCCCTTTTATTAGGACCTCTTCTTTGTAATACCACCTCTGTGTGAAATATCAGTGAAATACATATAAAGTGCATTCACAGTATCAAGTTATTTGCCATTTAAAACTTTATTTGATAATCTATTCCTATTCAGAAATGGAATTTCTGTTGCATTCGTCTAGGAAATAGCTGAGAGATGGTGGACAGGAGAGGCTTTTCTTATGTCTGTGATGAGTTTGTACTTTTGAAAACTCATTTTTTTGAGCATCAGCTGTTAAAAAGAATCAGAATTGTCTCAGCACAGGATCGATGCTCTTTTTACTTCTAGGTTTAATAATCCTATAAAGGCTGGCATTCTTGAAGGTTTTTATTTGTTTCTTGAGCTTTTTAAAGAAAAAAACCCTACAGCAATTGCCCTAACAAAGCTTTCGGTAATGTTTTGCAAAATGATAAAAACCAAAATCTCGGTGTTACATGGAAAGTGATAGTCAGTGGTAGCTGTCTGTCTCTGCAATGCTATATTGCTTTTGCAGTCATCTTTGGATCCAGTCATGCTCTTCTTTTATTTCTTTGGGACAAAGCTTTCAGTTCACAAAAGTCAGTAGACATTTTCTTCTCTTGTTTTCATAACCCAGAACAAGAGAATTTTGCTCTTTGACCCCAAATACACTCTTGCATGGATGTTCCGTTACTGCATTATCATCAGTAGAGCTTGGAGATCAAAAGACCCAGCAGAAGTGAATCAGATCTTTAAATATGAACACTTCTATCTATGCACTTTACCAAAATCTAGGGGACTCGCACAAGCATAAGCTTTTTTTCAGCAATATGCAATCTCAGCATGGTTCAGGTCAGTAATATTCCATGGCTTTGGCAAAGGAAATAGATACTAAAGCATCAGTCCAGGTAATCAATCATATGATGGGTTAAACTTTTATCTCTTGGGCCTGAACTTGTGTCTTTAGTCAGTAGCTATCCACAGCATTAAAACTCCAGTCTTTGAATACGCAGCCTCATAATGCAGAGCCTCAAACCTCTGGGGAGATGTTGGTCAGGAGACAGCCACAGACAGCTCTGCACCAACTGTGCAGTCCAGCAGAACCTAGGAGTTGCTTGGGTCACCTTCTGGATTCTGCTGTTGTTTACAATTTTCATTTTAAAGAAGAAAATGGAAAATACAGAATATGATACCTTTTCCCCTACTGACTAGATTCTTGAGCTGCAGTAGATTCTTTGTTGCTATTCGACAGAGTTTATATAGTGACAGAGTTCTCTTCAGAGAGAGTAAAGACTTAAGAGTATGAACAAGAGGACAGCCAACAAAACAATGCAGTATCTGTGTATAAGCAGAACAGAACAGAACAGAAGCTGTGATAGAATTTTTTTGCTATAAAAAGAAGATGCATTAAGTTGTAATAGTTCAATGCAATTTTAGAGAGCAAACCCAGGGAAGATGCATTTTTGTTTGTTTGGGGATTGTACTTATGAAGGCTTTTTAATGAAAACAGGGGTGTTTACAATTTATTCTGTCCAGAAAAATGTTGCAATTTCTATTAAAACCTGAGCAGCCAAATACTTTTTTAATATGGAGATGCTTTTATGTTGCAGTTCAAATGCTACATAACTCAGTTCATTGTTCTCTCTGTTCTCTGTGGGTTTTTTAGGCTGCCATCATAGATATTTTTTAAATGCTTTTTTTCACTTGTGTGTAACATCTTAAATTTACACTTTTTGCCTAATCAGAAATACCTTCTTTTTGATATCCCATTAAAAATTTCTCAGGGCACTGTGAGACTGAAACCACTTTCTGTTGGGGAATCAGAGGAAAGATGAAAGAATGTCTTTGCAATAGAGTTGTTTCTATGTAATGAATTTTTTTTGAATTGTACTTTTATCCTGAAAGATATATAATATTTTTCCAGATGCTTAAAAATGGCTAATATATTTGTCAAAATTTGTTAGTTTGATGGAAAATGCATATGATCATGTCATTGTTATGATACCACCAGCTCTTAGTGTATAAGCACGCACATTTGCATAGGAACTCTCTGAGTTTAAGTAAATTATTCCCTCTTTCTACCTGTTTTGTTACATATTAGAGACCTCTTTCAGAAGTTACACAGTGCTTTTCAGGGAGCTGGCAAAAGATTGAACCCTAAGAAAACAGGTCAGTTAGGTGCAAGAGAACATTTCTGAACTTCACACTGTAAAGCAGCATTTTCCCAGTGGTATTTTTTGCCACAAGATGTACAGGCTACCATGGGTGCTCCAAACAGGATTGTAAATTTTCTAGATTATAAGAATCTGTGCAGTGACTGTGCACATTTACCCAACACCACCAATAAGATTTGTACATTCTCTTCTTGTAATAAATTGAGACTACTGACTTCAGAAAGTAGACAAAGTTTGCCTTAGTTTCAAGGAAGAACAACTCCCTAGAGAATGCTTAGCATTTGTTCTCCTCTCCTTTTATTTCTTCAGGACGGAGGTTTCATTTCACAAAAATATTTGCAGTTTTATTTTTCCCCCGTGCCCACTTTTTTTCCCAAAGATCTGGCCTTTTGAAAATTGCCCAGTGATGGATAATATTTTGGAGTTGGAACAAAGGTAGGCCATTTTTCTGATTCTATCCCTTTGGAGGTTCCTTTTTCTTAATGTTATGAAAACAAGGTACTTCAACAGCCACAGAAGTAGGGACCTGCTTTTCTGTAAAATATACAGCACAATGAGTTTAATTGCATCTGTAAAAACGAAATTGGTAATACAACCATCCACTCATGCCTGTGATACAAATAAATATTTTTCCTGTGCCACAGATCAAAAATCAATGTCAAAAAGATCAGATGTACTTGGCATTGCTATGATTTAGGAAAAGATCAACCTCTAGAGAACAATTCATCCCTTTCCAGTGTGAATTCTCTTGCAGAAGTTTCTATTTATCTCTGTGCCCTGATATGTGCAAAATTCTTATATCCAGCCGTATTGCACAAGATGTTTGTAGCAGACCAGTGAACTGACTTCAGGGCTTTAAAGTTGCAAATAAGCCTGCCAGATGCCGCACCAGGTTTTAGTTGCTCTAGAGCATCTGAAATGACAATAAAAAATGTCAGGTTAAAACCCCCGCTTTGCATTTACATCCAAGTGGCATGCTTGCTCTGGTTAAGTAGTATTGCAAGTTTCTACTGCCCTTCCATGAGATACCATCCCTTTGTAAAGTTGTTAATTGAGAGAAATTATATCCGAGGAAGGGCAAAGTTAGCATTATACATAGTGACTGTAAGTACAGTACATAGAAGGGCTGTTACAGGTTGAATGCCTGAGCAGATCTTACCACCAAGTCGGCATATGAAAATAACAAAGGAATTCTACCACAGGTACAAAGAACAGGAAGACAGGAGTAGTTACCACAGAGGCAGACATATTTTTTCCTCAGGCCTCTGAACATCTTTCATCTTTTTTTGATGGATCTAAGATTGATCAGATAGGTAGTTTAGTGCGTAGTATATAGGTTCTTCTTTCTTTTCAGTGCTGCTACATGTTGGTGTTTCACAAACCAAGCCATAACCATAGAATCTTAGAACAATTTTGGATGAAAGAGACCTTCAAGATCATGGAGTACAACCTTTGTCCTACCTATATCAACACCTCTAAACCATGTCCCTCAGCACAGCATTTACTCATTTCTTAAACACCTCCAGAGACGGTGACTCAACCATCTCCCTGAGCAGGCTACTCCAAAGCCTGACAACTCTCTCTGTAAAGAAATGCTTCCTAATATCCAACCTGA